GGACAGCTATTTTACTTACTATATTGAGAGAGTTGAGTCAGTATCAGCAGGTAAACAGATTATCTTTGACTCCTAGTTACTTTCAGTTATTATATTATCAGTTCAGTTTTAACTTTCAGTTATTTTATTGCCATACATACTCGGTACATTATTTCGTACTAACGTCCCTTTTTCTGGGGATGCTGCATTTCATGCGTGAGGATTCAGATAGACATATGAGTAGACCTCCTCAATAGGTGTTGCCCGAGTTCAGCTTGATCGGTAAGCTCCACGTCCTTCGGAGTTGCCGGGTCTGGAGTTTTGTATACATCTTGTGTATCTATGTATATATGTTATGAGTAGATCGAGGCCCTGTTCCGATCATAGTACATCCATCAGTAGAGTCTTGTAGACATATCCTATCAGTTAGTGCAGTATGCTGAGCTTGTAGGCCTTATATGTAATTACCTTATCGACCCAGCCTTATATTGATGTTTAGTCAGCGTTAGTTTCCATTCAATTTTATATTTTGCTTCGCAAATTGTCTTTCCATGTGGCCCATGGCCAAAGTATGACATCATATGTTCAGAGTCCCTTAGTCGCAAGTTGGTACGCAAGAATAGGTGAGGCACCGAGTGCCAGTCTTGCTTCCCAGGTTCGGGACGTGACATTTATAAGGAAAGCAAAATTGATAATATGGGATGAAGCACTTATGGCTAAGTGTCAAACGATCGAAATAATTTTCCAGAGTTCTAGACATATATTGGATATTAATGAACTGTTTGGTGGAAAATTAATGGTTTGGGGGGCAATTTATGTCAAGTTCCAAAATCGACAAAAGCAGAGACTTAAAAGCTAGCTTGCCAAAGTTATACATCTGGCCTCAAATGAAAAAGATTCAACTAACAAGAAAAATAAAGTAATAACATATTCAGTGTCTTCTTCCTTCATGTTGGAAATGAAGAAGAACATCTAATAAAAGATGATTTGCTTCTTCCTGAACACTTGGTTATCAATCTCAATGGTAATAGTAGTGCATTTAATAAGAGAAATATTTCTATCATTGGATTAAAATGCAATTTGTGCAAATCGCATGATACAATTAAAAAGATATCTTAGTTAGCAGAAATGAATATGTTGATCAATTAAATAAAAGGTTGATTCCAAATTTTTATAGTAAAAATAAAATATTTTTCTGTTTTTGACTCAGTAGAAAATGATACCAATAATTACTACTAAAAATAATACTTAAATACTTTAATACCAAATGGCCTTCTACCACACATATTTGTTATCAAGTTTATTATTTCTTACGTATGTTAGTGTCACCGCATATATAATAGACTAAGTTAAAATTGATCTTCCATAGTATATAGGTTGATTTTGAAGAAAAATATGTCTGTCATGCTACTGAAAGACTTAGATACGCCGAATAGCTTATGTAATAACACACAAATGGTATATAGAAGTTTTGACAATAACGTCATACATGCAAAAATTATGATATTGGTCAATGTGCTTCTAAGTATATTCTTATCTCTGAATTCAATTTTTGTCTTCCGAAACTAAAGAATATCCTTTTAAATGTGTGCGAAAATAATTTTTAATATATTTATGTTTTGAAAATATAATAAATAAAGCACAAGGACCCTAAATATTGAACTATATTTACCGCAATATGTTTTCTTGCACGAACAACTGTATATTGCACTTTCAAGCGGAATATCAAGATCGACAACAAGAGTTCTGGTTAAGGCAGAGTAACCAACGCATTAGGAGAAAACATACACAAAAAAAAATTATCCACAAAGAAGTGTTCGTTAAGATACCATCACATTAAGTACTTTTAAACTACAATACATTATTATTTAACTAACATGACAAAATTGATCATTTGTGTAAGTTTTGATGATGTCCTTTTATTTTAAATTCATGTATTATGCTAACGTAATAATATTTTTTGATATTTAGATGATTGTTGTACTATTATACATAAAAAATTTCTCATTAATTTAATTTTATTGTTTTTCATATAAATAAATGTTTAAATGCCATTATTAACGTGCAACACACGTTCATAGATACTTGTATATATATATATATATATATATATATATATATATATATATATATATATATATATATATATATATAGAGNTACGTGAAGGTAGTAAGTCAGCAAGGTATCCATTTTTGCTTTACCTAAAATACCCCCTGTTAATAACTCTACTAACTTTGCCAAGACATTAAAGACATGGGCATTTTCGTCTTTTAAACTAAAAAATCAAATTTCTTCCCTCTTCTCTTGATTTCACCTGAACTTAAATCTTCACTCTATAATTAATGGTGGGAAAAAGGGAGCTTATTCAGCCATGGTTCTTCTCAAATACTCCAACCTTAATTTTTTTTAAAAAATTTCTTCTTCCAATGTTGACCAATATTGTTTCACTTATATTACTTCAAAATTCTGTAAATTTGAGTTTGCCGTCATTAAAGCTTGTCCTCTTTCCTCACGAGAACTCATTGCATCTTGCACAAAGTCTACGCTGACTTTTTTTTTTCTTTTGCTGCCGATTGATATCTAAGTTCGATTGCTGAAGAAGAGGCTGCATGCATTAAATTTCTGCGACAATAAAATGAGTTGGTTGCGTCCTTTTACAAATTGTTGTATAAAGTGTGGGTCTTTAATTTCTTTGTTGGGTTATAGATTTATGCTTGAACTTTGTGAGATGAAATGAGACGAGGGATTGGGATTTTGGGCAAGAGATAGGAATGTGGGGAATCAATTCAATTGTAAATGCAGGTCTGTATTCTGTAGCATATTTTTCATTTGAAAGTAAAATGACAATTTTGTTTAAAATTTATCAACACGATGGACAATTAATAGTGATATTTTAGGTAAAGCAAAAATGGGTATTTTGCTAACTTACTACCTTCACGTAGTATGTTAGCAAGACCTATATATATATATATATATATATATATATTATCAGATATTATTTTTAAAGTGGCTAAATTTGTTTTTTCTATTTTAATTGAGTTATTATTTATTAGACTGAAATAAAAATTAAAAAACCTAGATTAAGAAAATACTATCGAAAAATTGTATTTTTCGGTCACTATGATTTATATGTAAGTTAGTGAAAGTTTGATGATTTTTTGTGTGAGAAAATAAAGTTATATAATTTTAGTGAAAAATAGTTATAGTTATATAAGTATTTGTGAAATTTACCTGAATATTTTATTTAATTATAGTTATATAACCATTTATGAAAATTTTGAAACTTGATTCCTCATTCCTCAATGTTGTCTCCGTCCCTTCGACCATCAGGATGCCTCGGTGAGAGCAAGTTTCAAAAATTTTAGGGGCAGAAATAGAATAAACTAAAAGTTAAAAATCAAGCATTTAAGTTTGAAAAAATAATTTGTTAAATGCATGTCTACAAGAGTGGCTATTTCGTGCAATGCATGCCATGTAAGATCTGACATGGAGCCCTCCATATATATATATATATATATATATATATATATATATATACATATATATATATATATCACACAAATCAAACTCAAATTTTCACTCTTTAAGTTGCCGATTGCAAAGGGGACACTAATCTGGGCGGCCGATTCTCCAAGCTTAAATTCAAACGCCGTCCACTATCTTTCAAATTATATTGCCGCTTTTGCTCTCAGGTAAATCGATCTTCCCCTTACCTATGCTTTTCTGCATCAATTCACGTGATTGATTTTTGGGCTGTGCGTTTTTCACATCAACCCTAGTGAATCGATAATTTTTACTTATTGCATTACTCCTTAGTTATTGCTTGGGATTGAGGTGTAGTAGTTGTTGTTGTTGCAATCCTCTGTTTTGCCTTGATTTAATTTTGTAGCATTTGGTTGCCTCATATATAGGCCCATATAGCTTTGTGGCAGATTGGCAGCTCGTGCGGGGTCGTTCTGTTACTTTTACTCTAACTATATAGTTGATTTTTTTCAATACACACGCAATAATAAGTTTACTGCCTCCAGAGATTTGGTTAAGTGGTAAGAGCGAGCATGTGCAGTGTGCATTGGGCGCACATCACAGATTCGAAGCTTGCCTCAGACAGAAGCCTAGTATATACTGCCTCCAGGGCTTTGGTCTAAAGTTCGATATGTTTTAGCTGCCTTAGTAATCATGGACATTAAGGTTCTTTATTGAGTTTTGTGTTTACTTGAATTGTGATTTCTTAATTAGGCAGTGAGGATGTCAACACCAGCGAGGAAAAGATTGATGACGGATTTCAAGCGGTTAGTGCACGATCCTCCTGCAGGCATCAATGGTGCACCTTATGGAAACAATATAATGCTATGGAATGCTGTTATATTCGGGTATGGCATTTGGAATTGATTGAAAATCATGGTACCATAACTAATTGGAATTCGAAACTGATTGCTCCCTGCCCAAACAGCAGTATATTTGTACTTATAGCTTTTCTTTCCTTGAAATGCAGCCCCGATGACACTCCCTGGGATGGAGGTGAGGCAATGTTGCTCATGAGTACCTTTTGTTTGGATATCACTCCGTCGTACCTATGCCTCATGAGACTTATTTATGCCTTGGCAATTGTATGAACAAATATGGTGCCCCTATATGTTTTATATCAGAAAGTTAGTTGCATCAGTGAAGATTTCTTGTGTCGATATGGTCCAGTTTTGAGTTGCAGAATTGTAATTCAGGAGTCTTTGTAGGCAATTTGCTTTGTGCCTTCAATGCTGGAATTTTCTTGTTTTATCCTCCCAGTGAAGAAGGTTTTCTAGAATTGGTAGTGGGTGCATAACCAGTGTCCTTTCCTAAGTTAAATATCCTTCTGCCCTAACTTTGATTGTTTGGTGATATTGTTTGCTTACAGGCACGTTTAAGCTGACACTTCAATTTACTGAGGATTATCCTAACAGGCCACCAAAAGTGTACTTTATGTCCAGGATGTTCCATCCAAATAGTAAGTAGCTGAAGTATATCTCACCCCTCCTTTTCTACTCCTCTTTATCTCTTAGCAGAGTTGTAATCCTTTGAGAGGATAAGAACGTTCATTGTACTATAAATTGTCGAACGATAAGTCTGGTTGCATTTTCTCTTTTGCGTTCACATATGTGGGTGTTTGTATGCGTGTATTGTTATGCAAGGAGGGCAAGGTAGGTTTGGTTTTATATCGTAACATTGTCAAGTCTTTTGCAAAAACAATCACAACTAATCATCAATGCCAAATTAGTTAGGGCTGGCTAGTGGCTATATGAATCATCACTATCTATTTTACGCCATTTGACCCAGCTCATTCCAATGTTCAATAAATTAGGTTCTCAAATCCTAGAAGTTCTCTCTACATTTTCTATTGATATACAATCCTCCAACAAGATTAAAAAAGCCCCTAACGGATATTGAGCTGAGTGAGCATACCAATAAAACTAAGCCTTGATCATAACTAGTTCGTATCGCTTGTATAGATCTATTTCTTCTATTGTACTTTACTTTTTGCCAAGTTTGCATGAATTTGAATAGATTGTTAGCCTGTCAAAACCACTTTCCTTCACGTGATTTTAGGTCCACCTTGTCTCCCTTTAACACTTCCAACCACCATGGTTTTTCACCTACACGCTGGTGCATTTGGAGGTCTAGATAGAACTTGACAAAACCATTTCAAATGATCTTCTTTTATTTTATCTTGATATCCTCTGTGTGCTACTTGCACTTGTATCCAATGTGTTCATGTCTAAACTTTTTGTTGAAAGAGGAGTAAAATCACTTTGTTTGAAATGTAGACATTTTCCTCTTGCATCCTACTTTTGCTTCTTTTTTCATTTCATATTAGCTTATCTTATGCTTTTTCATATTGTCATGTTTAGTATAGTTTTCCTGATCTCTTATGCTTTTGCTTATTGTTGCTCAGTTTATGCTGATGGAAGTATTTCTTTGGACATCTTGCAAAATGAGTGGAGACCTATATATGATGTAGCTGCTATACTTATCTCAATACAGGTATTATGAGACGTTCTAAATGCAACACCATGCTTCGTTTCCATAAATAATTTTGAGGAATTAAAATGATTATTATTTTGGTTTTTGGGGNGTTCTGCTTTATAGCTGTGAATTCCAGTTCCTTACTTTAGATATTGAACTAGTAGTTCATCACTGTTGAGGATCATCGGTCAGTAGTTTGGTTGAACATATGAATAGAGGAAGAAAAGAAGCATCATGCACAAGTTTGTAGCCTGAAGATAACATGGATGTGTCTCAGAGTGACACTATTCTCCATGGTGATTCACAAGTTTTCACTTCTCTCTTGAGATTACTAGTAGGTTAAGATTTACAATTTTGAATATCCGTGTTTAGTTTTGATAATTTAATCCACAGAAGCAAGTCTTTCTTCATTTCTCTAACTTAATTGTTTCAAGCAAATTTTTACATAAGTTTAATTCCCATGTAAAAAATGCTCTCATTAGTTGCACATACCTAGTACTATTTAGTGAGTCAGCAGCTTTTCTTGGCACTAGTATTTTAGTTATTTTTGTCATTGTTAATTCAAAAATTGGTGGTTAGCATTGTCTCGTGTACTTTGATAAATTTCCAAATTTTATTTTCAAAAAATAGGTAGATAAATCTCTGATGATGGACATATAAATCAAGTCATTTTTTACACCAATTGGTGTTTACTAATGAAACTTTTTGTATTATCAAAAAAAAAAAAAAAAAAAAATCAAGTCAATTTTTATAATCGTAACTGGGTCAAAAGTTAGCATTTTTCAGCATCTTCCTGAGCTAAAGAAAATGATCTGTATAAGTATAACCTATAACCATTAACATCTATGCTGGATTGCTGGTAAGTAGCTCCCTGATATGCGTTTTTTCCTACTGCAGTCGTTGCTCTGTGATCCAAACACTAACTCAGCAGCTAATGCAGAAGCAGCACAGCTGTTTAGCGAGAACAAGTGCGAATACAACAGGAGGGTGCGTGAAATAGTTGAGCAAAGCTGGACAGCAGACTGTCTCTGTTGCTGAATCTGTTACATAGTATTCTCTTCGTCAGGTTGTCTGCATCAAAGTGAGATGTTTTAAGTGTTTTTCTACATTTATAATAATGTAGTGCGATAATGTCCTTTTATGTGCTGTTAGGAGCTCCGATTTTCTTTATCTTCATTTTTGGTGCTCGACTATGAGACTTTGTACATATGATCTATTATATCCAATTATGTGAAATTGAAGGAAGCTCTTATTCCATAAATTATAAGGAAACCTCAATGAGTAAAAGGAAACATATCGCGTAGCGGTTTTGTTATCAATTGAAGTCCCTCTTGTTAGTCCCGCCAATATTGCTGTATTTGTAAATAATAATTCTGGGAAATATAAGTTATCGTAATGAAACAGTAATTAATTTGAGCCCACTGAATTCACAGTGTTTCCTTAAGGTATTTAATCCCCTCCTAGTACCCAAGGTTATGGATTATTTCCTCCCAGGATAGAACGAATCACACACTGGTGTAGCGGTACTTCAAATCCCAGTGTTTCAGTGAACACAAAGTTCGGTAGCAAATCACACTTACAGTTGCTTTGTTTGAAGTTAAAACAATGCAGAACAAAGGAGTAGAAACTCAGAAAATCGTATGGAAATGCTGAGAGGAAGGAGTGCAATGTATAGCCAAAGTTGAGCGTTTTCAGCTGCTGCACATATTTATTGTCAGCTTTGAAGATGAACGAACCTCCACCCTCCATGGTGGAGCATGCACTAGCTTGTTTGTGGAGCAAGCACTTGGCCATGGTGGGAAGAGCATTAGGCGAATCGATCATTTGACCGAAGCCGAAGCCGAGCCGAGCCAGCGACGACGACGACGGCGCGAGGCTTGCTTTCTTCTTAACACTTTAAGAGCTACAAGAAAAGCAATTATATATATACCCACCAAAAATCTTTTCCTCTTCCAATATGAGACAATGTCTCATTGTCAAGAGGGGGAAACTTAAAATTTTACTCAAAAATTTTATTTTTTCCTGCATTTCACATTCACCCTCATTTTAAGACTATTTCATCTTAAATAACAAAAACCTCAACACCTCTGAAGGTACATCAGTTGCGACTGCTTATGCATCTGTCGTGGTGACTTCAACCAAGTAGATTCTAGGTAGAAGTGGTCCTTCAACAGACTTATTGAGGAAATTACAAATCAGTGATCAATCTCTCTAATTTTACATCATTCTGATTGGAGAATATTTCTCTGCCTGTCTGAGCTTTAAGATTTACATGCACATTTTCATGGATCCCGTGTTGACACTTAATATGATAAACTTCATGGAGGTCCATCCATGGTAATCGACATCCCAGGAGATGCTTCATCTTTATAAAATTGTAAATGTTGCAAGAACCAGTTCGTAGTTTGTGCTCAGGAGATGGCTGAGTGGTTGAGACAATGGTATAGTAACCTGAAGATTTCCAGGTTAGAATCGCAGCTATTAATATTTTAATGTGGCCTAAGTTGGTTCTATATAATTATATCTTATCTACGAGCACGAGAATTGATTTTTCTTGTTTGAAAATGAATGCTCTTATCAAAGGATGTATGCTAAAATTTTCTCTTTCTTCGTAATAAATTGAGCCATGTTTTTGCACATACTTTCTCCTTTTTCATTTCCTTTTATGGCGACCATCAAATTATACGCCTGATTTAGCTTGACATGTGACAGACTATTCTGACTGCCTAATTCATTATATAATCTTCATAAGAGTATAGGTATAAATTGTGATTACGTGCTTGTGTGCAATATACAAGTTCCTCATTTTTTGCATATATAGTTATAATCATATGACGTACCAGACTCTCCCCTCATTGTTTTGATGGAACACAATGTTGTGTTTTCTCATTTCGTATCCTTTTGGTTTCTTTTGTTAGTCCTTTTGCCATACTTAAATTTCAGCATCTCAGAAAAGGAGTCGCAAGATTTTTTTTCTTTAAACAGAGACCGACATACAGGTCACAACAGTAGGCAGAAAGAGTTACTAATATAGAAAAATGACTCATTCCCCAGTAAACAACATTGTTCTGTTTTCTTCTTTATCCCTATCTCTTTGGTCTTTCCCCTCGTAATTTTGTGGTTGGATTCCTGGCCTGACTCTGATCTTTGACACTCGTTAAAAATCATACTAGTAATTCTTCTCATTGCTCATATATTATTGTTTTAGCAGCAAAGCAATCTGTAAATCATCCTTAAATCATCAGAATCTGCAACTTTATTAGTAGTACTGCACAGTCAAAAGAAGCTTCTCTACAATGATGTTCATACCATTTCTTTTTACTAGACAGTAAATGATATATATTTCTCGCAAAAATGATATCTCTATTTTACGTGACACTTTCATTTTTAGTATGTCACAGAAAGATTCTCACGTTTCTATATTTAGAAACTATTTAATCATATCATCTTCACTTTACAAGAAGTAACATGACTTGTTAGGACCCTTTGATCTAAAAGTCACCTTATTATGTGGAGACAGAATATAAAGGACATACAAAACTCCCATACATCTTAATTGTTGGTGGTAAGGATCACTTTGATATTTTGTAGTATATTTTTAGCTTCTGTCAGAAGTTTTTTTTTTAATTTCTTACCCTCTGTTAATGAGATGATAAAATATGGGAAGGAAGTATAATAATATTCAGGTATTAACCAACAAAACATTTAAAGAAAAGAAAGTAACAAGAAGGCTCCATATCTGAAGCAACAACAAATACTAGTGCAAGGAGAGAATCTTCCTTTTTTGCCCTTCTCTTTCGAATTGTATAGGTTATGGCCCATAGCCAGAAAAGGTGACCCTGCATATGTCCTCCCAAGTGGTCCAACCTTGCAAAAACAACACCTCTGTCTCTCACAAGAATTGAAAAATCAAATACTACTAATATCAATTACCAATTTGTTGCATCGTCACTTTCAAGTCTTTAATAACAATCCTGGTACAATAACATTAACATATGTGCATTTTACTATACACACAGTAAATTTAACTGTCGGCATAAGACCCAAAAAATGGTTTAATTTGAATAACTTGAAAGAAATTAAAATTAGTAAAAGTGTTGCTGCACTGGCAATGGCCAAAAATTGGTCTGATCTTCCACATTGGTGAACATGTTGCAAAATCCTTCTTCATTGACAGTTTGCTCTACTTTATAAGCTGTTGGAAAAATATCATGGCTGTTGAGTGGGCTGTTTGTTGATGATGTTCTTGTTGTTGTGGTTCCAAGATTTACATCTATAGTACTGTTGTTCTCATCACCACTTCCATTGATGTTCCAATTACACCCTTCGTTTTCCTTGTTCAGATTAAATAATATTGGTGGTGTATCTCCAGCTGATTCTCTGTTTCCCAGACTCAATAACTGCAACTGCCACCAGAATGATCAATGCGAAACATGAACAATTAAAACTACTTCCTTCGGTCTTTTTCGGTTATCGTTTATGGTTTTGGCAAACTCATTAAAAAATCATTTAATAGTATTAATAATAAGAATTACAGTATTTGACTAAATAGTCCTTTGCCTATCCATAAAATGAGTAATAATTGTTAAGAGACTTCCATAAAATTAACAGATCATTTATTAAAACAAGGGTAGATTTGAAAGAAACATAATCAATGTACTTAAATACTGGGTTCTACCAAACTGCAAACCCGTCTACTAGCGTTTGTGAGTGATGGTGGTTTAATTTCTAAAACGCACTAGAAATCAAATTAAACCTAAACTGATTTCAGCTAAAAGAATCTTGGAAAATCATCTAGTAAATGCAATACGGAGCGAGTTTCCCAATAGCATGATCCAAAGACGTTTAAGTCAAATTTTAGTCTGAATATAAAAGTCAAGTTCAATTGTGTTACGTACCTCAGAGTGAAGTTTTTTGTTTTGAGTCTTGAGTGCATCATTATCAATCTTAAGTTTATCACATTGTCGCTTCAAGATTTCGTAATCTTTCTCCAATTGCTTAGTCTTACACCTAGCTCTTCTGTTCTGGAACCAAATTGCAATCTGCCTGGGTTTCAATCCTAGAGCTCTAGCCAGTTGCATTTTCCTCTCAGGCTCAAGCTTGTTCCCCATCTCAAAACTTCTCTCAAGTGCCTTCACTTGCTCCAAATTCAGCCTCCTCTTCTTCTCCCCAAGTAAATGTGAAGAGCCATCGTCATCAGACATGTCGTCGTCCACTCTCGATTCTTGATTATGATCAAATGACATGGCTCTCCTCATTAACAACGGTGAAATTCCTGCATCCGCCATCACAATAAATATGTCATATTCCTACTATTTTGCTAGCTCACATAGTGGTAGATCTAGACTAGACACCGTGATGCAATATGAAATGAATGGGTCATTTTTTATACGAAACATAGATATGGATGCAATATCAAGTTTAAAACTCATAATTTAGAATTCACTGCATTTAGCTCACACTATATATGTGTAATGTGTGTGGAAAAGATATAACCCATATAGAGAGCAGAATTCACTAACTCATCTCTAAATCTTGAATTCATCAAGTTATTTACAAAATACATAGAGATAGAGTGAGTGTGAGAGAGAGAGAGAACCTTGAAATTCTTGTTGAGGAGCACAAGAAGAGGGAAATACATGACTAGGGAAGGAGGAAGGGAGATCATCATTAGCTGCTTCATGGTTTCGAAAATTAACAGAACTAGTTTCTTGTGCTGTAGAAGGAACAAAAGCCATGGTACTACTAAAAAGCATGTTATCTTATGCACAAAGTAAACCAATTAAAGTCATATATCAACTATATATATCTTCTTTTTTCTTTTTGAGGTGTTAATTAATAAGTCAAGAGGTGTAATGGGAAGGAGAGGTTTTGAAGTGGGAACATGGAAGGTGCGAAGAGGGGAACATTAACATGGGGTGGCAAGATGGCAAGACTGGAAGCCAGCGAAGTTTATATATTATTTTTGTTAAGAATTAACAACACATAACGTGAAATGTTATTATAAAATTTATTATCAGCACAAATATTCTCCTTACTTGCAATGTGATGCCCTTGTATTTTTCCTATGACTTGCGCTTTAGGTATCTAGTAGATAACAAGTCCAACTTTTTTACTATTTTTTTAAAGCGCTACGTACTATGTATGTCTATTATTTCAAATGTAAAGTCTCTCAGTTTAAACAGGCTTGAGCTATGTACTCCACAAAGTCAATCTGATTCAATGTTCAAGATTGCTAGATTTAACAACGTTATTAATTACTGTCATTCTTTAAATGAGAGAAATATATGTAAGTTGCCCTCCATGAATTCAACATCAACTTTCAAAAGGAAAATTACTGAATTTGAGGTCATGCATGTTTGGTGTGAAGTAAAATGTTTTTTCGTAAATGATGTTCTTTGATACAATTAGGTGACTTGAATCGAATAATAAGATGATCATCTGCCGCAAAATCTGAAGAAGGCATGTGACTGGGCCATCTATATATGTGTACGTACCATCTTTTTTTAAAAGTTATTTATATGTGTATACTACTTGCAACTCCCAAATTACTCGCAATAGGCTGATGGCTTTCCATGAAAAATAGGAACAGCTAAGGGCCGCCATTACCAAAATTTGGATTTTCCTTTTCTTTTTTTTTGCTTTTGAATCTCTAAATATCAGATTAGTTACTTTTCTTGATTAATTAATTATAAGCACGGTTGATATTTTATATGTAACAAAAAATACAATTTAAGAGAGAGAAAGAGTACAACCTCAGATTTCTTCTCTGTAAAACTGTATATGACAATTAAACTTTAATTTGCTGCTTGTAATATGGAGTAATACTTGTACAAAAGCACATAGCATACAATTAAAAATGAAGCTCTGACTAGTCTAAATTTGTACCACGTTATCAAGTTTTTTTCCCATTTGCAGGACTCGAACGTTACAAAGTGAGAAATAAAGAAGGTAGGGAAAGGAAGGAAAGTGGAATCTTGTGATGTGGAGTTGTTGAGGGGGAAAAAGAGTGCGATGAGCAGTGGGAGTGTGGTGGCCAAGTACGACGACCTATCACCTGATATAACACAGGGAAAGTTGAGGTGCCTCTTTCTCGCACAATTCCCTATCAATTTTCAGCACTGAAAGAAAGGCTATTTTGTCTTCAAAAATCTTAGTCTTTTTGCCGTGACATTTTAACTCTAGGATCCAATAAGGCGTCGAGTCCGGAACCAAAGTAACATTATTTTGGTTCCGGAGATCAAAATAAATGCAAAAAAAAAATTAAGAACTATTTTATATATAGCGCACGTAAAACATGCGTTATACGTTAACAAAGTTATAGCGCATGTATTACATGCGCTATACATTAATTTGAAACTGTTTGTATAACGCATTCATGTATTACATAAGTTATACATGAATTAAAAAAGGACCACCCTTTTTCCCTAGGCAGATCGATGTCCTCCCCCATTTTTTTACATTTTCCTCCACTGGAGCCCACATAGGTTCCACAAAAAAGTGTGGATTTTATATTTTTTCCCCCAAAGATTCAATGTCTATGTGTGGCGTAGATCAAAGTAGGTGGTCGAATTTCGAGAAATGGTGGTCCAAATTCACATTCAAACATTAATTTAGATATTTTTAACACTTTTCTCTGTATTAATTATTGGTCAAAGGTCCAAATATGCTCTTGTACCGTACGAAATTGAGCACATTTGCCCTTCGTTAATACTTTAGCTCAAATATGCTCTTATCGTCACATAGTTGACCCATATATGCCATTAGAGTTACACAGTTGGCACATATATGCCATTTTCGAAACGGAATTCACCCAAACTAATTAACTCTTTCGTTAATTGTATTAAAGTGTATTACAAACACTATTTCCCTTTTATTAGTACTTTTTTTCTTTACCTTTCTCTTTTCTTTCTTCTTTTTTCTTTTCTTCTTTTTTTTTTCCTTTTTCTTTCTCCCTTATCCGTTTCCTCCATTACTGATGTCTTCTCCATTTTCGTCACCAATTTCACTTGACAAAACTCATAAATTCCAATTACTAAGAAAATTCTTTCATAAGGTAATCAAGTTTCAATTTCACTCGCCCTCTAAATAAACAAAATTAAATTGTTCCAAAAATTATGGTTTAAACTTTAAAATAATAAAAGCATCTCAACCTTTAACAATACTCAAAAGACCAAAATATTTAAATTATTTCCAGAAAGATAATTTAATGATTAAAAATCTAGATTTCAAGTTGTAGTGTTATAAATTTGAGTTGTTAGTCTTTTTTATCTTTTTTGGCTGGATATTTTCTATTTTTTTATTAACTATGTAAATTAGGGGTGTACATGGAACGGGTTGGTTCGACTTTTATCAAAACCAAACCAAACCAATTATATCGGTTTGAATTGTTCAGTTTTATTGGATTTTTCGAGTTTTTTGTTACATAAATATTATTTCAATCTTACTTTGTTAAATTTTTTAGAACTAAATATATGTTCAGTAAAAATTTAAAAATTGACAAACATATGATCTATAAAAATATTCTTATGGGAGAATTTTCTTAGTAATTGGAATTCATGAGTTTTGTCAAGTAAAATTGGTGACGAAAATGGAGAAGACATCAGTAATGGAGGAAATCGGATAAGGGAGAAAGAAAAAGGAAAACAAAAAGAGAAGAAAAGAAAAAAGAAGAAAGAAAAGAGAAAGGTAAAGAAAAAAAAATACTAATAAAAAGGAAATAGTGTTTGTAATACACTTTAATACAATTAACGAAAGAGCTAATTAGCTTGAGTGGATTCCGTTTCGAAAAGGGCATATATGGGCCAACTGTATAATTCTAAGGGCATATATGGACCAACTACGTGACGGTAAGGGTATATTTGAGCTAAAGTATTAACGAATGGCAAATGTGCTCAATTTCGTATAGTACAAGGGTATATTTGGACCTTTTCCGTTAATTATTTATACATTATGTGTATTACATGTGTATTAACTATTGCACACTTTAGTTCGGATCTTTTATGCAACTTTTTTTTTTTTTTTGTAAGTAGTAGTAATTGTAAAATAGATTTCGGCTTTAGTTGTTTTAATTCCATAAAAACAATTAGGAATAGTTATAATTTTCATATGGAAATTACGATATTTGTTGGTATTTGTCAATTTTGCCGATCGATTATTTGAAATTTAGCTAGTTTTTTTGTTATTATTTTGTTGAATATTGTTTAATTGGAGAATTTTGTGAATTTTGTTGTTTATTTATAGTATTGAATGTATTTATGCAATAGTATGTAAATATTAATTGTTTGTTAAATGTTGACTACTTTATTTATTTGTCCGTCATAGAAGTAGTATTTTGATTCCTACTTTGGTTGTTAGATTCCTACATTGCCCGCCATATAAGTTAAACCAATAACCTACTTTAGGATTCTTTGACTGTTGAATAAAAATTAAACTGTTGGCAATACGGAGGATACTCTGCCGATTGTTTGTCATGAAATACAATAAACAAACGTACAAAATTTATGAATTAATTAAATGATAAATAATACTTCGTATCGAATTAAGTAATTAGCTATTTAAAGAAATCTCCATAAGTTCAACAATTAAAATAATGTAGAGTTATATAACTAACGAATTAAAATTTATATAGTTGTCGGTACAAAGGATACTCTGCCGAATTTTTATTGTTAAATCTAAAAAATAACGTATAAACCATTATGAATTAATTAAATACTAATTAATAATTTGTATCAAATTAATTAATAAAATATTTTGATATATTTCGAGAATTAAAAGTAGAATAATATTGTAGGTACTTCTAACTGACAAATAAAAATTAAAATAAATGTCAATACAAAAGAGAATCTGCAAAAATTTTATTGTTTAGTCTAAATACTAATGTAAAAATTGGTTTGAATTAAATAAATAATAAATAATATATACTTCATATAGTTAGATAATATTCCTTACAATCTCAAACTACAGTAATAAATAAATCTTTAGCTATAAAAACGTAAGAGAACATACGTTAATTAACATTATTCAATGTACAGACATCATTATGGATCGCCCGGTTGTTCATCCTAGACATATGTCACGTGAGCTACTTATGCTCCAAGTGTGCCATAGGTCATCATGTATATAGGATGGAGAGTTGCTTAGCGAGAACTTCTACCCACGACGCATTAGGGATCACCCACTACATCAGCGTATTGTCGCGTGCCTCACTTGGATTGGTTTTTACCGAGTCATCGAGGTCGGCCAGTTACAGTTCGACTGGCCATTAACCACAACTCTGATCGAGTGTTGGAGGCCAGAGACTCATGCATTCCATTTGCCTACCGCCGAGGCGACTATCACATTACAACACGTAGAGGTATTGTTTGGATTGCCCGTTGACGGTCTTGCTATCCACTACCCACCGTGGATTAGGGAGTATAAGAGGCTTGACTATCTACAGATGTTGGTAAGGCTCACTGTATTCCTTATGGTTGAGGAGTCTGTGATTAATCGAATTAGCCGATTACAATTATTGCTTGTTAGGCAGCACCTATAGGCACTACATGAGCAGATAACGGATCCGACACTAATGGAGGTTATTGAGCGACAGTCTAGACTGTTGCTGTTGATGATATTTGGCAGTATTCTTTTTCCATACACCTCGGGGAACCTTATGAGCCTATGTTTCTTGGCTCATCTGGAGCGGTTATTTGATTTACCCATGTACAGTTGGGGCGGTGTCGTTCTAGCGTACATGTATAGGCAGCTATACAGGGTGTCGATGGGTAGCGTGAGGGACATTGCTGGATTTATTCCGCTTCTATAGGTGATAATATTATTAATTCTTATCATGAATATCTCACACACACACACACACACNGAGATTCTTGCAGATGCAACCCCCTCCTCGACCACTAGCTTCAGATTCCCCACCACCGT